AAAAACCCCCCCCCCCGGAAATGTAATCGATTTTTTGCCCCCCCCCCCCCTAGAAAGTTTTCTGCTAGCGCCCATGACTATATACACTATTTTTAAGCGATTCAAGGATAACAAAGTGAAATTTTGCTGTTCACCATGGAGCGTCATTACTAAATTAATGGTTCAAGTATCTTAAACAATTTTCTTTGTCTTGTTACCAAATTATCCTGAAGGTGTTAACAAGGGTTTTTTCCTTGAAGTTGAAGTTAAAAGATGGTAATGGAAGCTCATTTTAAATGTTTAGAATATAAAGAAAAAAAAATTCCCGTGCCTCTGGGAAAAAAAGAAAAAGATAATACAATGCAAATAAAAGTATGCGTTTCTGGGTCTTTCCGCACCCCCTGACTATGCCTCCTACGCCCCAAAGGCGTGCTGACTAACGGGATTAAGAAGTACTGGTTTAAATTAAAATCACTAATTATAAAAAAAAAAAAAGTAGATATATCAATATATATGACAATTTTATTTTGGGTCAAATATTTTCAGCATTCAAATTTACTCATTATCACCAGTGGCTCTGCAGCCCATGTAGGGCCCTGGCCTGCTCCACCACATCCTTCCATTCGGAGCGATCCGTGGCTTTCCGCCTCCACGCATGAACCCCCAAGTGGTGTAAATCCTTCTCTACATAGGCGATTCATCTAGAGCGACAGGTGAGTCGTCTGCCCTTAGGTTTTTTTCCTATACATCACTTTTTCTGCTCTACATTCTGGCACCCTTTCGATATGTCCTGCCCAGCGCAGTCTGCCTTTTTCTTTTTATTGTTGGGACAATTGGTGGGTGGGTCTTTGTACAATTGGTATAGCTAGCATTCAAATTTGGTTAAACTTTTATTTGTTTAGAAAAATGATAAAACAGACTTCGATAACACACACATAACATTCTTTCAAAGGCCTATATCACATTTTCAATAAACATTTTTCACAGTTACATAGTCAATAATGTCCAAACATCCACATTATAACTTGCATAATATTAAAAAAAATAAACTTCAATTCTTAATGTAATAATACAAACGAAACAACATTTCCGACATTATTGATGCTGAAAAGAAAATGTTTCTAGAATTTTTAGTTTGTAAACTTTTTTTTCTTCCAATTGTAAAATAATAGACAACGGGAAAGGTTCTCAAATATCTTTGTCATCTGAGTGACTTCTCCCCTTTAAGAACCATTGAAATATAACAACCATCAACTTCTGACGACTGTCGGCTATCATATTAACATAACACAGTTATCCAGGAAAAATCAAATACATCCTCTACGAGTAACTCTCCAAATATTTTGTACGTTCAGTCTCACTATTGGTGTACACAGGCCCCGTGTGACTTTTGATTGAATCCGTTGCCCTTGCTGTTGTAGCCGTTGTGTGTGTCACGCCATTCGTCGGCACGGCAGCAGGCACCGATGCCCTGTTGTTGTTGTTGAGTTTGCGTGGGGCGGGCAAGGGAGCACTTTCATCTGGACACACTGTTAGAAATATTATAATGAGTATATGATAAGAATTAAATTCATTCATCTGTAACGGTGAGGCATTGCTATACACAAGGGCATTAATGAGAGTATTTCACGGTTCATTTATATCTGAACGTTGTTAGTTAATTTACAGTTAAAACAAATTATAGTAAAAGCTTTCTTATCATCATCTTTAGGGCGTGAAATATGTAGTTACATTAAAATATTTTTAAAAATAAAGATTACAATTGTTTCTTCTATACATTCTTTAAATTGTTAATTTAATATGTGTGTGTATATATCCTAGTGTCTCATTTTTATTTTACTTAGTTTACATGTAAAGCGCTTAGAGCTTTATGGTAGAGCTATATAAAAATGCCTAAATAAATATATATATATATATATATAAATAAATCTTACTGTAAGTCGTAAAATCTGGATGATTCTGGAACGTTGTGTCCTCGTACACGCCGTTACTCAGTCCCCCTATCCCATCGGTGTTATGTGTAGGTGACTGTATGCCGAGTTCATTACCCACATCTCGGTTGGACCCGCCCGTTCCTGTAGACAGATAGACCTAACATGAATATATATTCTACTTAAAGAGTCAGATTTGAACGTCCTTGGAGCAAAAAAAAAAAACACTTTTAATTTGCTTTGTTTTTTGTTTCTTTGTTCTCATAATTATTGTTGCACTGCTTCATACAAGGACTAAGGATGTTGACATGTTTATTTCAATTGGTTTATTGAGGTAAATATATTAACATTATAAACTAAGAACATAACGTTTAGGACTGGGACAACATATTTCAGTTTTCAATAATGACATTTCTATTTAAATACTTTTAAGAGAATGTATGTATTGTTATGTCTGAAATTTCTCACATTGTCACCAAACACAATATCTCTTGTCACCTGACACAACACATCTGGTCAATCTGACAAACACATCTTGCCACCCTGACACAATACTCTGGTCAATCTGACACAAACCATCTTATCACCCTGACACAAGACATCTTGCCACACTGACACAACACATCTTGCCACCCTGACAAGCACATCTTGTCACCTGACACAACAAATCTGGTCAATCTGTCACAACGCTTCTTATCCCACTGACACAACACATCTTGCCACCCTGACACAACACATCTTGCTCCCCTGACACAAAATATCTTGCCACCCTGACACAACACATCTTGTCACCTGGCACAAGACATCTGGTCAATCTGAGTAAACACATCTTGCCACCCTAACACAACACATCTTGTCACCCTGACACAACTCATCTGGTCAATCTGACACAAGACATCTGGTCAATCTGACACAACACATCTTGTCAATCTGACACAACACATCTTATCATCCTGACTCAACACATCTTGCCACCCTGACACAGCACATCGTTCCAGCCTGACTCAACACATTTTGCCACCCTGACACAACACATCTTGCCACCCTGTCACAACACATCTTGCCACCATGTCACAACACATCCTGTCACCTGCTATCGCAGTAAATGTTTCATACGGCTGCTCGTCTACTTCTCTCCCATGCATGTCGTCATAGACAGACTTTCTTGTCCGCTCGTTTCTGCTTTTCAAACAAAGAAGTACTGTGAGAATGATGATGACGACCCCAGCCAACCCAAGTCCACACGACAGACCGATCAGTGTGACCTCACCCTGGTTCTTCTCTAATACAACAAATAAGACGACCATAATTAAATAAGTCTAGTTATTTTAATGTATAGCTTGTCAGTTTAATTTCCATAGTAGCAAACACAAAATATATTATTACTTTCATCAAAACAATCAAAGATTGTTTCTCATTCCGTCTAAATATTTGGACAAAAATGTTGATAAATCCATGAGTATTTGTTTGCAAATTACTCACCATCAGAACACGACGTTCCTTCATATCCGTCCTGACAGCCCAACAAACAACTCCCCGACACATGATGACAGACTCCTGGTCCTGTGAAATTATCGACAACACAAAACTCACTGCACTCATGGCCACAGCTGGGACCATAATATCTTGGAGGACAAACTAAAGGAAAAATAGGAAGAAATGTACAACTTAATATATTCTGCAAAAATCTGCATCTTTCATTCGAGACACATTAACAGCATGGCCTTAATGACTCGCTTGTTTCATGTCTGGTCAACGGCTTCCTCTCGAAGAATGATGCTACGTATTTATTATAACGTATGTGGTCACTAAAATAAACTAGTCAATTTATCATAACGTATGTGGCCACTAAAATAAACTAGTCAATTTATTATAACGTATATAGCCACTAAAATAAACTAGTCAATTTATTATAACGGATATGGCCACTAAAATAAACTAGTCAATTTATTACAACGTGTCTGGTCAACGGCTGCCTCTCGAAGAATGAAGATACGTATTTATTATAACGTACATGGTCACTAAAATAAACTAGTCAATTTATTATAACGTATATGGCCACTAAAATAATCTAGTCAATTTATTACAACGTGTCTGGTCAACGGCTGCCTCTCGAAGAATGAAGATACGTATTTATTATAACGTATATGGTCACTAAAATAAACTTGTCAATTTATTATAACGTATATGGCCACTAAAATAAACTAGTCAATTTATTATAACGTATATAGCCACTAAAATAAACAAGTCAATTTATTATAACGTATATGGTCACTAAAATAAACTAGTTAATTTATTATAACATATATGGTCACTAAATTAAACTAGTTAATTTATTATAACGTATTTGGTCACTAAAATAAACTAGTAATTTATTATAACATACATGGTCTCTAAAATAAAAAAGTCAATTTATTATAATAACGTACATTGTCATAAAAATAAAGAAGTTAATTTGTAAAAACGTACATGACCACTCAAATAAACTGGTCAATGTAATTCAAAACCGGTATATCGGGGGAAAGGGGTGGGGGGTTATTTCTCTGACTTCAAAGTGTATAATTACATATTTTAGAGGCAGTTGCAGGCAGTAATAAATTAAGGTAAAATATGTGATTCATTTACTATGCACAATGTGTCCCTTTTCTGCCGCACTTTCAAATCCCACTGACCAGGTGTCACAGTTCTCACGTATTAATATGATGTTATGAGCAAGCTCAGGGAAGAAGTTCATATAATCTTTGGAGATTATAAGAAAGTGTATGTTTGAGGCGCCAACTACATGATGGGAATGCGTATCATTGTATTACCGGCATTGCACAAAGACCCAGTATATCCATCTTTACATCCATGCAAACACGATCCACTCTGAGCTGAGCAGGAGCCGTCTCCACCGCACGTGACACTGCACGTGCTGGCACAGTTTTCACCAAACGAGCCGCTGGTACAAGCTGGAAGAAGACAACAACCCGTAACAGAGTACATGCTTAAGTACATTTGAGTACATCAGCGTTTTGAAATATACACAGATAATGAAATGCTCTTCACTTCTACTTATATATATTTAATAGTCAATTGAAACAGGCTCGCTTCACTTCTACACATACACTTATATAAATAGTCAAATGAAACTATGTTCCATGAAATAAAAAAAAAAAAAAAAAAAAAAAAAAAAAAAAAAAGAAAAAAAAAAAAAAAAAAAAAAAAAACAAAATTAACGGGTAAAAAAAATTTTTCCCCTTTTTCCCTTTTTTTCCCCTTTTTTTTTTTATTTTACTTTTTTTTTTAAAAAAAAAAAAAAAAATAAAAAAAAAAAAAAAAACTATGTTCCAAAAAAAAAAAAAAAAAAAAAAAAAAAAAAACTCAAATTACAGGCTGAACAAAATTTTTGCCAGTTCTCGCTATTTGTCACCTTCTTTTCATTAGCTTACGTTTTAGTTATAATAGTAATGAAAAATATCAAGAAACAAGTTAAACATTTAAATTCTGAATATCCATCAAAACTAATTTTTAAGCATGTTAGCCTCATGACCTTCTTTGTCACGAAAAAACATATTTGCGATAATTTTTGGGTTTGTACTAGAAAGTGCATTTCATAAAACGCTGAAATCACAGATGTCTGTCTGAAAAGGTCGTTTTTTTTGGGTTCCAATGAATTAAGTGAGGACTTAACATGTGATTCAGTCTCCGACCTTATCCACCAGAGAAACCTAAATTTTACTCACATCACTTCACTAACACAGTGAACGACGTCATCGCTCTCATATCTACCTGTTGTGCACGTGTTCCCCGTGTATCCGCTGAGGCATCCAAGGGAACATGTCCCGTTCCCCTTACCACATGAGCCATCCCCTCCACAGTTTGCACTGCATTTCTTTGAGCAGTTTTGGCCGTACCAACCTAGCTGGCAGTCTGGAAGCATGGCAACAGAAATGCTTCATTGTTCAGCTATTTTTGCAACTAGTTATTATTATTATTATTTTAAAAAAAAAATAATTAAATTTCCATAAAAATTTTAAACCTTGGGTTAAGCAAGAGTGGAGCGTGAAGGCTAAGTGATCTGAAATTTGATTTTACATTTTATGTAATTATACTTTTTAATTTATATGCCGATAAGTGAGATGGACCATTGATTACCTGTGTCACACATTAAGCCACTGTAGCCATCTTTACATCCTGACACGCACACACCATCAGATACACTACACGCGCCATCTCCTCCACAATTCAAGCTGCACCTGTTGGAACAGTTGGCACCAAACCAACCCGGGGAGCAGTCTATTGAAGAAAAAAATTACAAAAACTTTTATCTTTTAAATTTCATATACTTAAAAAAAGTAAAATAAAATGAAGCATTACAATGTACCAACAATTCTATAATTAGAAGCTCTGTTTGACGAAAGAATGTTTAAAAATAGTAACATTACGCAATGGAATCTGACGTGTTCCAGTTTTAGAAATGACAAACCCTGTAGCAGCGTCTCAATAGCTCAATTTGATACACGCATTGCAATGTCAGTCCATAGTTTTTTCCCTTTTGTAATCAAATGATAAACGTATTAAACGTTTATTATATGCTACTTCAATGCCACATACAATACGTTTCTGCAATACTTTTATAACGGACATAACGGTATTATACAGTGAAAAAGCATTACAAGACACTGAGCATAGACAAACTTTGAAACCTCATTTCCATCAATATCTAATCCACTATCACTGGATAAAACCATGCCAACATACACCCAGTACGTTACTTGCTCTACACCACAAGATCAAACTCTGGACATGTGTTAATGTAATATAAAAAAGGCCTAAACATGTTGTGGTTTATTTCCACTAGGAGAATCCGACCACACAATGATTCGCCTAACGCCATGCTATAAGCCAGTTTTAAAAACAATCTGTAGTCAATTCCTACATTAAGTTCTGTGTAGACGAAATTATTCCCCCCAAAAACCATCCGAGTATTCAACACCAACAAACCCTGGATGAGCAGAGAAATAAAGGAGGCCATCCACCACAAGAAGATCATGTTTAAGATTAACGATCATGAATTCATTAAAGCCACACAATTATTGAAAGAAAAATATATCAGGGTAAAAAACAATAATAAAAAAAATCGAAAAATTATTCCTCACTAACAACTCAAAGGCTTGTTGGGCGGTCTAAAGCAAATAGCTGGATATACTCGTAAGCGAGAATGTTTAAGTGTTGAGGACGTGAGGAATTTTGTTAACGACTTAAATGACTATTATTTTCTTTGTGACAGCCTGGACTTTGGAACAGTACACAAGGAGATGATAAATTCATTTCAATATGGCAGTAGTACACATGATGGTATTTTATTGTTCACCGAACAGAGAGTGATGTCATTATTGAAACAAGTGGACGCAGCCAAGGCCTCGGGACCAGACAACTTAAGTGGTCGGCTCATTAAGCTATTCTCAGACAGCTGTCCTACATTTTTTGTTACATATTTAATAAATCTTATGTAACTCATACAATATCAGCAATTTAAAAAAAACTTCAGAAATCATACCAATTTCAAGGAATAATAAGTTAACGCGCAACAACGACTTACGACCTGTTGCACTTACCTCTATTGTCATGAAATGTTTTGAGAAAATAATTCTGAAAGAAATTTTGAATGAAGTCTAGCAAAATCTTGATCCCCCCCCCCCCCCCCCCCACACAAATTTTCTAACAAACCTGCAGAAGTACGGAGGATGCAATCTTACTATTGTTGAAGAGACTTTACCATCACCTAAGACAGTCTTACATGAAATGTTTTGAGAAAATAATTCTGAAAGAAATTTTGAAAGAAGTCTAACAAAATCTTGGTCCCCCCCCCCCCCCCCCCACACAAATTTTCTAACAAACCTGCAGAAGTACGGAGGATGCAATCTTACTATTGTTGAAGAGACTTTACCATCACCTAAGACAGTCTTAAAACATATGCCAGAGTGCTTTTCTTAGACTTCTCATCAGCATTTAACACTTTGTGGTGCCCCACACATGTGGACGGAGGGAAGCGTGACTTCATTATAGAACAAGGGAGGATAGACATGTCGTCACGCAGATGTAGAATCATATGGTTCTGTGAAGGAATCTTTATCAAGACTTATTTGGGGACTAAAAAAAAACAGGACCGTTAGTGGGGTTTTGATTCAGAGCTCACCCGGAGAGCATACGAGGACAATCGCAGAGACCTGAAGTGAGAGTCAGAGTTCAGTAACAGGAACGTGAATGTAGCAGAGAAATACAGAGGGTGGCTATAACCCTCGACGTGTTGTTACCTCATTGTGGTAGCACGAGTGACAGTACCATCCAAACAAAAGTGTCAATGAGTAGAACTAGAGAGGACTAGGTGTAGAGGAAACTTGACACACATGCTCTTGAATATCTATATTGAAATAATGCAGGGTTTTGAGCTCATAACGCTCAACACTTGTGGCGGCCTGGGTCCTTTTTACGCACTGCTGTCTATAGGGAGAAATTAATCTCCTATTTACACGTATAGCTCATTTCAGAACTGAGCATAAAAAGACGAGAGAAATACGACACTCAAAACAGTGCTAATTACAATTAACACGATTTAATAAGTTACTATGGATTACAAAATAAAAGAACTATATTTAAAATCATCAACTTACAGAGTATGGTGTTTCTTGAACCGGTACTCAGTTAATTCAATGTGCCAAAAAAATGGTACAACGATTAATATGAATTCACACATATAACTAGACACAGATCTATCAAGAATAACCCACACTAAACATAAATGCTAACCTGTCGTCCCGTAAAGTAAAATATTATCGTGATCTCTCTCCCAATGCTCTCTGAATCCCCTTATATATATATATGTATAGTCAGTTATACCGACGCATCTGGAAACGCTTTACACATTGTTTTCCTTTCCAGTTCCCTCCCGACCTTTCCACAAATTCTATTAGAACAGAGAATAAAATTTTAGTTGGTAGTAAACAAGGCCAAGATCAATGGGAAGACCATTCTTGGTAAGTCACGCGCTAATAGTAGGACAGCGTCTGCTTGAGTAAATGACGTAAATACGTCGTCTACATAACAGTCCTCAATTTCTTTTTTTTCCATAAATAAGATTAATAAATACACGTATGCTTAGATAACAATATACGGTTCTACGTGAATTCATCGATGGAGGTCAAACTTGTTAGACATACCATGCCAATGGCATATTGAAATAGAGGTGTATCCTAGAGTAATAATATCCAATCCTGGGTGACCCGATATTTCTCGAGAATTATCCAGTAAAATATCCATTGTTCCACATTGACAAAACGCCATGGAATGTCAATTGAAGCTAAATATCTCAGGAAATTTTATTTTAGTTTTATAGATCTCTATATATTTTCTGGCTTCGGCAGCAGCAATAGTAATATATATCAAAGGCAAACTCTTTGGTAAATTCCATCAGCTTTTAGGGAGATGAATTTGAAGTGTAAAATGAGTATTTATCTGCATAATTTTTATAGAGTCCCATATCTTAACGATAAGTACAATTGACTCATTTGGAATGGGCTCCTGTCGATAATCATCCTGTATTTAATTAATGAGCAGCTAAAGCTTTGGCAGTGAGGAATACCTTTTTTAAAAATTACATTTTTAAGCAGTTCAATTTGGTTTTTAATCATGGGTTTTAACTTTCTCAAACTTCAGTGCTTAAAGACTTATAAAATATGTTGATATTTTAAACGAAACAAATTTAGCGACGTGTTTTTGACACTAAATTAATGTGTCCGCCGATAGGATTTAGTTAAGTTAAAAAAAAAGTCAAACACTGGCACCGCTGGGCTTAATGTCTAGTCTATTAAATGGTTGAGTTCCAAGTGATTCATATCATCACTTAGTGTATTGGTTGTTGAGTAAGTAAGCATTTAAACGAGCTGGTTGCGATTTCTAATGTTGCGTTGTAACTATTGCTGCTTCTATCAACACTGTAGGAAATCCCAGTGAGTTCCAGAGCCTTTTCGAGAAGGTGGGACACGCAGAGGCTGCAGTTTTGAATTGAGGTTAACGCATCGTTTCAACAACGTTAATAGAATGATGCGAGCTGTAAACGTGGTCTGTAAACTTATCCGTGAGCTGTGAAAATAAATCATATTTACACATGTTTATGGATGACGGTGTAACACTAAAACATGAGAGAAACTGGCAAGCAATCTTGTGTACACGTTTGAAAATAAAAGTGTGGAAAGGTCAGTCAGTACCTTCATGACAATAAACTCCAGTTTTTCCCAAAGGACAATCGTTGCAGTAACCTGTCTCGTGGTGACACAGCTGATCAGGGCATGTTTGACTGCAGTGCATCTGGCAATCTTTGCCGTAAAGAGTTGGACCACATACTGTAAAATACATACAAGAAATTCATGTTGGTGCACTGTCTCTGACAATCATGTGTTAGAAATTACGACTTAGATAAGTAAATTACAAAGAAATTTAGAATGTTTTATTTTCCTTTTTTTTACTTAGAAATATTTAATTATTATTTTTTTAAGCCAAGAGAAGAAAAAAAAAAAAACACCGAGTTATTTCACTCTTTTGTATTAATGAAATCATGATTATTTCCGTTAAAACTATTCCTCAGATCCACTGGTCCNGGGGGGGTGGGGCGGTATTGTAGCTAAGTTAGTTCGTAAAAAATAAATAATGAAGATCCTTAATTCAAACCTTCACTACAATCTTCTCCAATGTAACCAGTAGCACACCCAGATGGACAGCCTCCAGTGCTAACAATGCACACCTCACCCTCCACAGCACAGTTGCAGGTGTTGTTACACTCACGTCCATAATACCCGAATGGACAATCAGAATCTTTTAAAAAGTAATGTGTAACATTAAATTATCAGCAAGTTAAATGTTTTAAAAAGGATTTTAATGAATGTGATAAAAAATAATCATCATCATTAAATTTTAATTATTATGTTTATTTTTCTTTTGGTTAAAAATAGACTTGCACATTTTTTGCTCGCCTAAATGAGTTGTTCATTGTGTGACGGAAAAACAACAACAAGAGTATTTGTTGAGCAATTGAAACGCTGTAAATTTACATTTCCCACATCCTTCATTCACTCACAGTCGAAGAAACAAGTATTTTGGTCTTAGCACTTTGCAACACTCACCGCCATAAATTTCCACCTCACACAACGAAAGGACAATAGCATAATAATAATAAGTATACTCCGTCGCCGTTATGTTTACTCTTGCCACAGACATGGGAGAGCTGGGCATAACTGAGTACACGAGCTTTGGGTCTTCCATGTCACTGTAGGTAAAGATTTCGTCATCGTAGAAGTCAAAGCTCCGCAAAATGAAAAGACGCAACATTTCTGAATAACAAAGTTGGATACAATAAAAACAAGATGTTAAAACATAAATGTAGACCAATAAACATGGGGTCAAATTTAAGTGCGGGGCATTTGGGGGTTCTGGAGATAGTTGTCCAGCAAAATTCAGCCTCTGTAGCTTTTACACAGTTGTGCAGTTATTATAATTTTGAAGATAATTTTTGAAAACAAAAAACTTCTTGCAATCGCTCTGTAATTCCCCCCACCCCCACCCTCACCCCCACCCCCCCCAAACCACCACTTTTCCACCCCCCCCCTCCCAAAAAAAAATTAAGATTATTTTATTGATGATTAAAAATTGAAGATAATTTTTGAAAACAAAAACCTTCTTGCAATCGCTCTGTAATTCCCCCCACCCCCACCCTCACCCCCACCCCCCCCAAACCACCACTTTTCCACCCCCCCCCTCCCAAAAAAAAATTAAGATTATTTTATTGATGATTAAAATAAATGTAAATGTTTGATTAGACTTTAGATATTCATTTTAAGAAAATCGATAAAATTTCTGGTTAAAACAATTAAACAAGAGAAATTTAAACTCAAGAACTAAACTTCTATAGGACAATAATGACTTTAAGAGCGACTATTGGTTTATATATCAGCCGGATGAACAGCCTGGTAAAACATGTTACAGGACAAATGAATCTCTACATCATTGAAGGAAATAATTAGTCATGATCGAGTGGATCTTGAGTAACTGTAATTAAGTGGGTCGGATATACCCAGCAAATTTGGATTTGTTTTACTAATGCATTTAGCTGTGCAAGATCTTCAAGGGAGTTTAATTACATAATTCTAACAGTGTTGTGTTATGTTTAGTAATACTATGTCTTACACAAGGAAAAATAAAACCTCCGTTCAGCTTCGTGTCAAGATTTTTAATGACTAACTACAAGCAAAACAGCATGACCTCTAGCATCTCATCAATTTAAGACACACGGGCATGACGCACTGACAACAAGGGAAGCAAGCAACTGTGACAATACAACACAATGACATCACAACACATTGGACTGCAATAAAGCTCTTAAGAATACGCATGCAAGTTATACACCTGGAATAATTTATATAGAGAATAAATTAATAACAAGATTTGGTTCGGTCATTCCATTCGAGATAAACTAAATTCACAAATTTACATAACTTCAGGTCCCTTTTCCTGATTGTTTTTTTTAAATTTTACTTCTTCCCACTTTTGAGCATTGTTTTTCTTAGGGACCTGCGCCAATTCTTATTATTTTCTTGAATGTTTAGGTAGGATATACATAAATAATGTTAAAATTTAATTTATACTAATTTGAATATTTTATTTTTTTAAGGGTGTAAACGTTTGCATTTTTAATTTGTGTAACTATTATTGAAGCTAAATCTATATTGTTTAATTGACCCAGATTAGTTGGTATCTCATTAATTGAAGCAAATTTCGTTTAATTTGATGCTGCTTTATTGGTGAGTCTATTTCATTGGTGTTGGCTTAGAAACGATTAATTCCCTCCCGAGATTGTCACAGATCCAGGAGGGTGTGGGGCCTTGGTTAATTGAATTTTTCGTGGCCGTTGACGTTACATGTTCCATCGATAGGATATTAAAGACACGTTATAGTCGTACTTGGGACTTGCTGGTCATAATGTGACGCGTCATAACGGAAATTTATTCACTCGCTTAGTTTCCGAATATTCTACGGCAACTCGCGGGGCCCCGCAAACGCTAAACCTTCGGTGGTCGAAGTCTCATAAGCCATCTGCGAACCCACAGTCAACTTCGAAATAAGCCCAACTAATCATTGTAACTAATGGAGTTCATTTAAGGCTGTTAATTTTAAGCTAGAGAAAAACTTTAGATGTTTTGTGTTACAATTTTTATAAAAGTAAAATAATGTCTTGATTAATATATGTATTTATGTATGTGCAGAAAATGGAATTAAAAATTTCGATTTGTTTGGATGCATAAATAATCTCATTTTATCTTATCTTAAATACGATGCTTAAGGTGGTCATGAGAGATTTTGACCGACGAACTATGATAATAAAATATGTCACTATTTGCTCTATACTATGAATGCTTATATACGATCTGAAATAGGGTCATATCCCCTCCGGAAACCGACAACAATTTTTAAACTTGTTAGTTACTGATGGATTCAACTGGAAAAAAATAACTATCGTACCCACAAAAGAAGTTTGTAAATAAGTTCTGTAATAAACATTCCACTTGAATATTTATCCAGCTTTGTTGGAATCATCGGTAGATGTAATGAGTTGAATGTGATAGCATGGGCTAAGGATATATGGGTATGTACTGTATACAGGACAAGGGAGAGTGCACAATCCTATGGCGCTCCCTAACTTATTTCTCTAGTCAACTATATATTTCTATATAGTCCAACACATATGCCAAAATGCTTTTCTTAGACTTCTCATCAGCATTTAACACTATCCAACCACACCTTATGATAAAGAAACTTTCCTCGTTAGGTGTCAGTTTAAATATTCAAGGTTTGATACTGAACTTTTTAACAAATCGACCACAATATGTCAAAGTAAATAACCAAGTATCTCTAGCCAGAGAAATAAGCACGGGGGCATATGAAGGTTGCGCTCTCTCTTGTCGCGATGAGATTCTTCTGTATGGCCACAGTCTTTCACTGCACTCCGTTCAGCAGCACACCATACAAACAGTCACCAATGCAACAAACAGCAACCGGTTTGTTGTAAACGAAAGTTTATTTATCACTACTCGATGAACAAGACTTGATGTATAATTTCAGAATTTGATAATAAATCACTCCAACCAAATATTAATCAACATACCAATCCAACACTTCTGCAAGTATATTCCCCATCAATTCTCTCAGCACAACACTTAGCAGTATTCAATCCACAACAGTCAATGTAGCACATCCGCCATCACTCTTCTCTAACCACAACGAAAACTAACGCGTCACTTCCCATTACACAATTACGTCACAACACTCTCACACAAACGATACGGCTGCACATAAAATCTCTAACGAACATCTTTTCCCTATAAAACATGACAACAACGCTCTACACATAACATCAGTGATTCTCATACCCTCGACATCTCTCCTGTACTGTATACAATATATACCAGTGGCGTAGCGAGGATGTTTGGCGCCCGGGGACTAGATTCGCGCCCGGGGACAAGATCCATTTTTAGCTCCCCTTTTTATTTTTTTCAACTCTCAAACGCATTATTTTCATCAATAAAATAATATCAAAGCACATTTTGGCGCCCCTAACTAGCTGGCGCCCGGGGACATCTGTCCCCCCCCTGCCCCAATCACGCTACGCCTCTGATATATACAAATGATATTCAAAGCTCAAGCGACACCGTTTCAATCTTAAAATTTGCTGCTGATACCACCATTGTTGGCTTAATATCTGAAGGAGAAGGCCTATACCGCAACTTAGTTACAAGCTTTATCAATTGGTGCGATGAAAATTTTCTCCAGCTGAATGTCTCAAAAACAAAGGAAATTGTTGTTGATTTCAGGAGGGGGAAACATCTGATTACGGATCTCAACATAAAAAACATCAAAGTGTAGAGAAAGTGGAGGCATACAAGTACTTAGGTGTCACCATTAATAATACGCTAACTTGGCATGAGCACGGCCAAATCCTGTATAAGAAATTCAACCAAAGACTGTTCTACCTCAAAAAACTGTACAATTTCGGCGTAAACAAGCAACTCGTTAACTTATTCTACAGTGCAACAATTGGAAGCTGGCTTAATTTCAGTATTATCTGCTAATGTGGGAATTCAACGCCTGATATTAAACAACGCATAAACCGACTAATGAAGAAAGCTAGTAACATAACACAAACTAAACATCCTTCACTTGAAGATCTATTTCTTCGAAGAAACATGTTTTTTGCAAAAATAAACACATTTTGGATGATACATTCAACCCTCTTCGTCACAGATACTTAGGATCGGGCCGTTCGGGACGAATTCTTTCCATCAGGGCGAGGAATGACCGATATAAAAATTCTTTTGTTCCCCAATCTGTACGAATTTACCGACGTGCTTCCTCAGAAGTCTCACATCTTCATGAGAACTCATACGTCCCTTAGTTGGCTAAGAGAACTCACAGAACGGTTGTTTGAAATAATTTATTATAAATGTCTTGTTTTCAAATTGTTTTATTTATGTGCTATAATATATAATGCAATCAAAAAAACATTTCCATTTATTTGGATCAATAAAAATAATCTTATCTTATCTTATATTCATCATTCAGCTGAATGGCAAACTAGCATATTTTAAAAATATTTGAAGGAAATCTTAATCAATACTTTTAATGCAAACTTACCAATCATATCATTTCGATTATAAATGACATATTTATAGACAATCTGAGGAGACCGGAACAATAGAGTCCAGGTTGGGTTGCTATCATCGTATGGGTTTGTCTGGGAGCAGCTTCCTTGGTTAAACTCATTATTGGTGTTCCCATCCACCACATTGATGGGGTCGCCGACGTAATTACTCGATTGTAAAGCGTCTTGCTTAAGTGCGATATTCCGACCTTAAAGCAGCAGAGTAGAAAATAAATATTTAGTTTATCACCAAAGTAAAAAATAGCCCTGAAGAGTAATGATCTATAATGTTTACTTGTAAAATAAAACGACTTAGGAAAATATATTTTAAAACTATCTTTTTTTGCCCTAGTTTTGTAACTTAATACCCTAGTTTTGTAACTTAACATGATCCTCACGAGAAAATATTCAATTTTTGGAAAAATCTAGTCTCTTGGCTTTTGTCACTTGGGCTTTCCGTGTTCCCTGCCATACATTCTTAAGATATAAAGTCTTTTACAGTTTCTCTATCAGCCAATAGAAGCAAGTACATATTTGTCTCATTTTGTATTAAATGGGATGCTTTGATTATAAAAATTGGCTATGTCCGTCGCTTTGCTTACAGAATAATCTCTCAAGCATCTGTTGGACCACTTACATTTAGCGTAGTATTGTAGAGAGTTCAGCCTGGGGGGTTGACTAATTAGAACGGGTAGCAGACTGCGATCTCACGAAGAAGCACAAATTAGACAGTGACCGCAGATAAATCGAGACGTTAGAATGCAAGGGATGTCAGGGGTGCAGAGGTGAGGGGAAAAACTACAGTACGAAGACTGACCAACTTACACGTGCGTCCGTAATCGCCAAGCACGAGCGTGACGGTGAGACTAATATAATTAGGTATTAGAATGCGAGGGGAAGGGCCAGTTGAGGTCCATTTTTACGAATGGAAGTGTTGGGTTAATTAGAGTACCCACGTGTAGAAACTAGAGTAGCATGGGGACGTGACCTCTAGAGACACTAAGGCCAGTTCGTGGACCTTTAACAGGGGATTGTTAGATTGGACAGAAGAGCGAAGCCGGAGAGAGTTAAGCCCGACGGAGGGGCGAACCGGACAGTACACCGGACAGGAGTAGACAGGAGGGAGAACTCCACTGGACAGGAGTAGACAAGAGAGCGAAGCCGGAAAGGAGTAGAAGATAGACGTGAGAAGACAGTAACCCGTGACATTCAGAGCAGAATTCCAAGGTCTTGATTTGTGAACAGTCTAGCAGATCAAATAAAATGAAAGGCTAACTCATCAACGTGTTATTACCTGAGTGTTGCAGTACGAGAGACAGAATGAACGAGGTTACCATCCAGATAAAGTAGTTAGAGAAACGAGGCGAGGTAAGGTGTCCCTGCAGTATTACAAAAGTGAATGTTATAATTTTGGAAACTTGAATAGTTCATCGAAAGCATGCGCGAGTCAAGTGTGTCAACGTGATGCAGCTCTGTGGGACCATGAACCATTGAGATGATTCGTCATATAAAAACACAGCTGCCTTTTTACACAATAAAAACAACTCCACGACTTGAATTAGATGGTGATGTGCTACAGTTATATTCCCATTAGGCTTTATATATATTTAAGACTTCTAACGTTATTTGAACAGATTTACTTCTTTCTCCCTCATTTTTAAACATGCCATCTGAGTTCTTTTGATATTTTTTCCCCCATTTTGTACCTAACACACTCAGATCCACTTTCCGTATTCATTCAAAGAGTCGGGAAAGCTGTCGTTATGTTTTTTCGACACACATACTATTATCATTTTAGTGCACAAATAAGGAAACTTATTACAAATACTGAATCAAAGCGAGTCATTTATTGGTTATCTTGGAAAATAAAGACTATAAACAAAAGTAAAATACTAACTCTTGGATATATGGAAGTAACAGGATACTTGGCTCAAGACTTATAAAAGGTTGAGGTGCATTACTTTGATTAAACACCGGAAAAAAAAGAAATCTTATCGGCTATTATTTTATAGAAATTCATGGATTTAAGAATATAAATCTAATCACTATAAACTGTCATGCTATTAATGGGCTTAAAATCATGATTAATAACTCTCTCATATGTCTGTAGCGTTGTGTTCAATAGGTACCGAGAATAATAAAGTGAGTTGCTTGAATGCATGTTTTATCAAGTGAATTTAATTGAGGGGAGACTTACACCTTGCCATTGCTTGATGGGTTTTTTTCTAGTTAAATCGCTTTTGTCTAATAATAAATCAAGTAGTTGATCAGTGAGGAATCAAGTATTCTACATCTCCATTGTCTCTATTAAAAAGACTAATAAAATATTTGACCGTCCAAGCCATCTTTGGATATAACAAGTGTGTGAGGAGTGGTGTGTAATTATTGTTGTGAGCGACAAGACGCCATTACTTAAAGGAGTGGGTTATTAGTTTGTTGAAGTGAGTACATTTTCGTATAGTGAACAGGAGTTTCCCTTCTTCTACTGTGAACGCCATTATTGCCGGTTTGTCATTACTGTGCACTGTGTTTTACACGGTATACAAATAATTAAAGAATAGTTTTGTTGTAAACGATCTCGTGATTTTTAAAACTGTAACTGGTTTACTCCACACCAGCCTTGTAAGGGCTAAGAGAAAGCAACGGAGATATAGACTCTGAAATTTTTTCTGTGGCCGTACGGAGGGGACCTACTCCTAGACGACTATCCGCCACAAAAAAATACTCAATCAACATCATCAAATGTACTGTTCCATCGGACATCATCATACAGTCTTCTTCAATACAAGGTAAAAAATATCTCCACCGATAATTCCTTCATAATTTAGATTAAATTTCGTATCTTTCGTTAAGATAATATTTGATCCATTCATTTGTGCTGTCAAAATAGACTTACCCCCACTGACGTGAACAGTGCAGAGTGCCTGGAGGTCTATGGCTGTTAGAATGATCTGCTGTACAGGCGTGGTGAGGTCACACGCTACATCGGATGTGTTGCCCATCTGAACTATTCTGTCATTGGCACAGGTAAGAATGCTCCCGCTGTTCTGCCCCGTTAAGGCGACCACAAACCTGGGGCTTTTACCTGTCAGATCAAAATAAGAACTGTTTTATTTACAAAATGCAATTTGTGTATGCGTAGAAGAAATACACATTACCAGTTTATCTAGCTTTCATGTGGCTAGCTTGGCAGACAATTACAATTTGGTGGTTCCTATTACAGGTCCTTGGTGCTCAGTATGGGAAATGAGTCGCTCAATTTTGATAAATATAATTTAGAAGCAAGGGCGTCTACCCAAGGAGGAGGTCAGAAAGCAGTTGATTTTAATCTGAGGTTGGTGTGGGGAATAACACCCACCCCACTCCCCGGCTTGAATTTTTTTTATCCAGGTAACAAAATTATTTTGGTAAAGATCACAATACATTTACTCGATATTTACTTTTTTTTCTGTGCAACGGAAGGGGGGGGGGGGGGGGGGGGGGGGAGGGTATCGTAAATTAATAACAATTAAAAAACAGAAAACTCTTATGACATAATTGTCCAGCTTATGAAGGGAATTGAACACAAGCCAATAATGTGGCACGGCGCGCGTTTAAACCGTCGGCCAACTCGTCGTTCAATGAGTTTTAAGAATTAAAACCGAAATAAAAACTTCTGGGCCTACTAACATTCATTTTTGTTTTTGAATAATCTCGGGATTTTATCGTTTCATTTGATGGAAAATATAAAATAGTTTGTTATCAATATAATCAATAATACAGAAAAATAACAGTTACACATTTTGCTCGAACACTAATCTTCATTGTCAACATCCCGAATTAAACTCAGATACCATGCCTGGCATGACCCCAATGGCGACAGTACAAACTTAAGCAAGCCCAATGTCTAGGGTGTGTGGGGTGGGGGGCGTTGGCTTTCACCAATTGGGGGGAAGACGGTCCCCATAATCAGAACTAACGGGCTTTGGAATCGCTACACTTTAAAAAAGTGGTACAAAGTTTATGGGTTCATGGATTGTGAAAAGTTGATTTTATACTCAGTTCACACGATTAAACTTTCGCCAAATTCTTTTTGAACTCACTATTCAGTAAAACAAAATAGTGCCTGCAAAATGACATTTGACAGAACTTGAATCGTGTGAACTGAACATCAGGGATAAAAAAAAACCCTATAATTTTAGAATAGTTTCACACGAATGAAAGAGCCTTATTAAATTCAACATTTAAGTCAAAGCAAGCAGCCTCTAACGTAAAAAAAAAAGGTAAATCTACTTCTGATGTTGTTGTCTGTGCTGACCTGGAAGTGGAATGTATCTTAATCTAATCCAAGAGAAGAAGAATGACGTGTTCCAAGAGAATGTAATGATCATTGAAGACTGGAAGGTCTCGCACGTCTCATCATCTCCGTCTGTTAGAAAGCCGTGGACATCTGCTGGACTGGTCAGCATGTCTTGCTTGGCCACATCAGCTGTTGACATGTGTGGCCATTGTTAAACCCATTTTTGACCCATTGAAAAAAAAATGTAATCACATATCTAAGATGAAATTGCGCAAAAATATTTATTATTAAATTCATAAATTATAAATAGTTTATAAGACCTAAGGACTCCAATTTCTTACATCATTCGTATTGAATATACATTTTTGCTTTAAACGGAGATAAATAAACAAATATTATAATTGTTATCACTAGAGTTTATAGTAATCTATATTTTACCTTGTGGGTTAATATTTTACAAAGCTTAAGTGGCACACTTAAATTATTAAAATGACGTCACGTACATTTATCAATGAATCTATTAGATTTGATTTCATATAACACATACACGTTATCATGGTGATCAAATTGAAATAATTTAAAAAATATCCTTTATACCCTACCATATTGACAAGCTGGACCGAACCACCCGCTGTCGCACGTGATTCCATCTGGACATGATCCGTCGTCCAGGCAATCGATTTGATTGGCACAGTGACACTTATATTGACACACTGATCCGAACCAACCGCCAACGCAGTTAGCTGTTGAGAAAGTCAAGGAAAATACGAGACCACAATGAGTAACTAGGGCTGAGCCAGGTACTGACCCGCATACCCGGAAATTCCGAATATGAGCACCAACTCACTCAAAACAAAATATTAAAAAAAATAAATAATAGTATTGTAATTCAAGACTCATTTCATGAGTCAACCCTTTAGCTTCACTGAAGGAAGGCTAGAATGGGCTCACCATAATGAGTATATAAGTATCTATTGATATATAGTATGCGTATGTTGGTATCAGAAAAATGAAAACTGCTACCAACCAGTGACCTGCAACACTGGCGCATATAGCGAAGCTCAGCTCCCAGTTTGAATTTTGCTATGTTTAAGGGTTTGAGCAGTGTTTCTCAAAATATGGGTTACAGTCCCACTACAAAGCATTCTCAGCACCTTTTTCTCAATTCCACCACAACTTGGCGAATGTTATAAAGGGTCACCGCTCTAAAGAATGATGAGAACACCTGGATAATGTTTATGTTATTAAGGTTTTAGTGTTTGAAAACTTTTCCTTTGATTCCATTGGAATCGCTACTAGCTCTATACGCGTACTTTTCACTCATCCCCATTGGCTAAAACAGATTAAAGAAAATGAGAAGATAACTTTTTGTGTGTTAAACCCGAACCTTGGCCAGGTATTGTCTCAAAGAACCCGGGCATTGACCGCGTGTAAATAAACCGGCACAGTCCAATTAGTAGCATTTCTCATCATAGGTCATGTCTTTATAAAATCATCTTCTACAAGATAATGTCTTACAAAATATCTTGTACAAGGCAATATTTTATAAAATCATCTTGTACAAGACAATGTTTTTATAAAATCATCAATTTACAAGATACTTTTTGTGATATCGTTGTTGTATTGTCAGTTGCTTCCCTTTGTTAATGTGTGAGGTCCTTGTTCCTTGAGTAGAGAGGTCAGAGGTAATGTGATCTTGCGTGTAGCTATTCATTAAAAAATGTAGACACGCAGCTGGACAGATGTGTTTGTGTTCCTGGTGTGATAATACTACTAATTATAACAATACCGTCGAGTAAATTAGTTCATCGTTCACGGTAAAAGTTCCGCTTCGGCATTTCCCGCTTGAAGTTTGCCTCTACGCGGCGCGACCGACCAGTAAGGTAGAGCAGATCACCCGAAGCTTAAAAAAAATTCACGTCACTATGTCTGTCTCCCAAGGCGAAGGAGAGGGGTCACTTCGGTAACTTCTCCCCGGGAGAAGATAACACAATAAGGCCTAGACATGATTCAATTATATGGCTAGTAATAGTGATAGATTTCTAAGGCAAGGGAACTCGAATCCTCTCCTCTCCTGCAGATCGGTGACGGGGCTCAGGCCAACTGTAGGCACTCGTGCGACTGTATGCACTAGGTAAGGTGCTGATGCTCACGCGTTTTACAAAAAACTGAAAGCTTAGTTTCGGAAGGAGGTTGATAGGGCGAAGAAGAAAAAAAATGGGTTGGGACATGCGGAGAACTCGACCTCAGAAAGACGGAAAAAAGGTCTGGCGATTGGTGGACTCGCTATCCTGCATGGGAAAGGCTCGAAATCTGCGTCAAATGCAAACGACGACAGGCACGGCTACCACGGATGCCAAGAGTACCGAGGCTTTAAATAAGCATTTTGCAAAGATAAATCGGAAGCAGGAGTCCAAAGAGAGCAAAAACCTAAACCGTCTCCAGCAAAAGGGAGAAGTGGCCCAACGGTGGGGACCACACGCTGAAGTCTTTACCGCACCTTTCACTATAACTGATTACAAACCGCCATCGACAAGTGCAACGCCGCCAAGGCGCCAGATCAGGACAAGATCTGTAACGAAATGATCAAAGACCTTGGCCCGCTAGCTAGGACACAGCTATTGTCAATCATGAACAGATCCTGCCCAGAGCTCGGCTTAGCGCTACCATCCTGCCTATTCCTAAAGATGGGAAGAAACTCGATCAACCGACTGGCTACCTTCCAATTTCCCTAGCATCATGTTTAGGGAAAGTAGCCGAGAGAATGGTGAACCAGGGCTCTACTGAAACCTGTAGAGTACCGCGAGCCTCAGCCCAATACAGACGGGCTTCCGCAAGGGAATGCAGCATGTAGATCAGATGCTTCGTCTTCTCCAATCCATTACAGATGGAATCCAGAAAAAGTCTCATACAGTGGCTGTTTATTTTTTTGTACCCCCGACAAGCCTATGATCGTATTTGAAAGTCTCGTCTATTGTGTACCTTATGTACCCACTAGAGAGCTCCGCTCATCCGATAGTGGCAAAATATCGATACCGTGTGTTCGCCTTGAGACTTACGGAAAGCGCACTTTTGTATTTGCCGACCCAACAATTTGGAACGCACTTCCAGTCGCTCTCAGAAACAGCCAGACACTGCAGTCCTTTAAAACCGATTTAAAAATACATCTATTTCGCAAACACCTTCTGGGGTGATGCTATCTACCATCTTTTTCAGTTAATGTATATTGGCTTGTGTTGCTGATGGTTGAAACGGGATGAAAGACTTTGACTTGGTATGCTCGTATGTAGCTTTATACTGTTGCGTCTGTTTTTAAATGTGGTAAATTTTAGATTGTTTTTATTTCTCTTTTTAATATGGTTGACTTTGTACCGCGCTTCGAGCTTTTGGGGATGAAGCGTGTTTTTCAAATAAACTTTGTTATTATTATTATTATTGTTGTTGAAGTTGCAAAAGTTGGGAGTAACTGCCAACATGTACAGGTGGGTTGCCTGTTTTCTTACAAACCGGACAATCGGCATAAAATTCGGCAGCGAAATCTCCAGGAAGAGAACCCTTGAAAAACGTCTCCCGCAAGGGTCAGCCTTCAGTTGCAATCTCTTCCTAGCCTAAACAATGACTTGCCACAAAATCTAGCAACTAGTGCTGCGACTTATGTCGAAGATTTAGTCATCTGGAGCACCGGTACAGATGTCCACCGCCTGCAAACTCTATTACAGCAGGACCTCTCTGTTATCAACAGGTTCATGCTGCGGTGGCAACTGGAAATCAATACTGAGAAGACGGTCTATTCACTCCTTACCAACGGGCGGACCATTCTCAAACAGGAGATTGAGCTTAAGGTGGGGGATATTACGTACTCCTAAAAAAAGGTAGTAGGCTTATGGATGTATTTTGAGTTTTGTGTGCGCCAGAATAAGTTTTCACGTGGCATACGTGCCCACTTTTCACGTGGCATACGTGCCCACTTTTCACGTGGCATACGTGCCCACTTGGTCCCAACATGAGTTCACATGTTACCCACCGTCAGCGTCAACATGAATAAGCAAAAAAAGTAATAATTTAACAACTACAAAAAAACTCACCATTTTGTGTATCACATCGACGTGTCATCAAAGAATGGATGAAAACAACCATGATAAGCCCAGTTGATTTCCAGTTCATTTTCAGAACAGTTAATAATTTACGAACTCTGAATTTATACTAAACAAGAGTTTTGTTCAGCTTCCTTTCCAGTCTTCTTTACTTTGTTTCTGTCGGATTTTTGCGCCCACTCCTATTTTTTCTCTCTTTTTTTTAGGTATGATATGTATATACATACATATATATATATATATATATATATATATAATGTAAATTTAATTTATACTTATTTCAATGTTTTGTTTCTGTACTGATGATGGCATGTGCCGAAAAGTTAACTTGTGTATTATTTACAATTATTATTAACGCTTAACATATATTGTGACAGTGACACAACTTGTTCGTGTCTTATTAATCTTTTTCTCAACTACCGTACTTGAAAAGGGCAAGCAAACTTCCTTGGATTTAGATTGAAAATTAAGTATTGCAAACATCTGAATGAATTACGTCTTTCCTTTCATTCGATTGACACAAAATGTTTTAAAGTCATCACAAAATTTTACAACGCATGTCAGGATTCATTAAAAGCATACTAGTTCATAATCAATGCAATTACATGTTTATATGTAAATGTATGTGTCAGTGTAAGTGCTAGTACATGTGTTGATTTGGGTTTGTGTGTGAGTACTTTTAAGAAATCAAAGTCAAATCAAATTATGCTAAATGATCAAAACTAAGTTATAGGCCCTACACAAAATTGATTTAAGAAAATACATTGAATGGTACCCATACAGGTTGTATATTTGCAAGTTAATCCACATTCATGAAATATCAGAATGGTTTTTCCTTGAATTTTGTTTACACTGATTCGCATGCAATGATAAAGTTACCACAGGATTCACTGGCCAACTTTTAATGAATTATCACCAATTACGACATTATGATAAAATATATCATTTTTGTCCTTGGCTTTGTGATAAATCGGATTAAAAAAAAAAAAAATTGCGCACCTAATTTGTAATTAACTAAAGTAAGTTTCGCCTTGAGAATGAACACACCACCAATTCAACACATTAAATTACATCCATGGAAATGTTAGCTGTTAGTTAACGCGTTGCTCAAGTTCATTACGAGGTTAACCCTTGTAAAGCTAACGTACAAGCCAGATCTGATTCACAGCCTTCCTGTAAATCAGTTACATATAGGCAGTCCTTTATTCGGTGCCAAGCTTCAGAATTTCGGAGGGAACAAAAAAAGAAATTGGGTTTTTACGACTCCTATATTTGGCCCCCCTTGCCATCCCCCCCCTTCGCTGTCAAGCCGTGCACCAACAGTCCATTAAAAGATTTGATATAATACACCCCCCCACCCCCCGAAAAAAAAATGTCCTTTCACTCGAGGCTTTTAAGAATTCGTAGAGCATGAAGACATCTCTGTTTGAATGGGGGCGAGTCGACAGAAACTGAAACTATATTTCAGTAACGATAATGTAACAGCATAATCTTTACTATATATAAATCTGAAATCATTTTGACATGCGTGGCTTCTTTTTCTCTTTATTCTATTCCTAACACATATAATGTGTTTTTAAAAAAAAGAAGTATAATATCGTATTTCCAACATGGTCGTTTGCCCACTTGTGACGTTTACCTTACGTCACGCCGTTTTCAACACATCTTTACTCTTTTATGGTCTGTAGCTTTGACATGTGTCAGTGGGACTTCTCCAATGGACTTTATTCTGAAACATATCTCCAGTTTCTCATGGTCTGTAGATGTGACTGGTGCCTGTGACCTCTGCAACTGACATTAACATTTAACATACAACGCTGACGTTAATTTTTTTTTTTACAGCCATATAAGTTTTGCAAGCTATTTTTAACTAACCTAAATACAGTTCTCAACTATAATACGTTTCGATGTTATTTCAAAGTGTTGTTGTATCGTGTTGTACATTGTGTTGTTGTATCGTGTTGTACATTGTGTTGTTGTATCGTGTTGTACATTGTGTTGTTGTATCGTGTTGTAGGCCTACATTGTGTTGTTGTATCGTGTTGTACATTGTGTTGTTGTATCGTGTTGTACATTGTGTTGTTGTATCGTGTTGTACATTGTGTTGTTGTATCGTGTTGTACATTGTGTTGTTGTATCGTGTTGTACATTGTGTTATTGTATCGTGTTGTACATTGTGTTGTTTATTGTATTGTATGTTGTGTTTTATGTTGTTTTGTATGTTGTGTTGTATGTTGTATTGTATGTTGTGTTTTATGTTGTTTTGTATGTTGTGTTGTATGTTGTATTGTATGTTGTGTTGTAATTTGTGTTGTATGTTGTGTTGTATGTTGTGTTGTATGTTGTGTTGTATGTTGTGTTGTTAATTGTGTTGTATGTTGTGTTGTTAATTATGTTGTATATTGCACTGAGAATGTCTCATGTAAATCTGGTTAAATTATCTTTTAAAATAATTATAAAATTGGAATAAAAAAAAATAAGGCAGAATCTGAAGGGGGTTTTTTTGCAGTTAAATACAAAGATAAAGGAGAGGTTTTAAAAAATAAAAAAATAAAAAAAGTAATAAAAATAGTAATAATAAAGTTCATAATAGTAAATTATTAAATAAAAAAATAATAACTCGACTTCTATAAAAAGTTAGAAAGATTAAATTGGTGTTTTCGTAAAGATTATAGAGAACCCTTTTAAAAAGGATGTATTATTTATTGCATCGGTTCTCTGTGGGTTGTGAGCCCTTTTGGGGGGTCAAAAACGGGGGTCGCCTAAGACCGTCAGGAAACACATACTTATGAAGAAGCAAGGAAAAATATCTCATGGTTAGGGGTCACCACAACATGAGAAACTGTCTCAAAGGGTGGCGGCATTAGGTAGGTTGAGAATTACTGATTTTAGGCATTAGGAAAATATTAACAATCACTGTCAAATAACCTACTGTAAGCATTAAAAAACGATCATCAAAGAATAAAAAATCACTTGTTAAATTGACCAATATAATGGAGTGTTAACATTTTGATACACTCATCTACTTTACGGAGGGTGGTTAAACATCTTTATATAGAGCATGCACTTATCCATGTCATTATCCATCATCATCCACAAACCTTCACAACTTATAAATGATATGCATAAAAAAAAGTGTTTTTTTTTTTTAAAAAGCTGATTAAATCGAAGACAAAGTGTATATTATTTATGGGTTGCATAAAAGTCATCCATCCGTGAAATGTAAACGATTCAAATTTCTGTTAAACCCAGTTGACGAAATTGAAACAAATTTATTTTTGAATCGCACAAAATGGGATCATATAAAATGTATTCTCCAAAACGAGGAAGGGAAAATCTTACGTCAACAATGTGTACTGAAAATGTACTGAGAAATTACAAGTTAAGTTTGTAGGATGTTTTGAGACCTTAATTTTCCAAAGAAGGTGTTTTAAGACCTTAATTTTCTGTGGCTCTTTTGAGAACTTAATGTTCTAGTTCACAAAGACTCTCATATATAGTATGCATTTATGTGAAATCTGCTGTTATCGTGTCATTTGCGCCTAGTTGTACTTCTGTGATAAAATTGTGACAATTCACATTACTAGTCATGATAGGAATAGCGTCAAGGCAATAATAGTGAATTATAATTTATTTGAGGAGGTTTAAAATTACTACACAAAATTAAGGGAAAGAACTTTGGTGAGTGTTTGGAAATAGTGTTTCAAGTGAGTTAGACATTACATCCCTTTTCCGAGAGCATTCGCTTCGTCAATTTTTTTTATATAGTTTTATCTACAGTATGTATTAATGCATATGCGCACTAACTGTATTTGAATATGTTTTATTTACAGCTATGTAAAGACGGTTACTTGTTGCGGGAGATATATTTTGAAATTGACGAGTTCGGACATATATTTATTTTAAGACTTATTGTGGGTCCTCTAGCACAGTTTCCTCAACCTTCCTAATGCCGCGACCCTTTAATACAGTTCCTCATGTTGTGGTGACCCCCAGCCATCAATTTGTTTTTGTTCTACATTGTAAATATGTGTTTACTTAGACGACCGTTTTGTAAGGGACGTTTGACCCCCAAAGGGATCACGACCCACAGGCTGAGAACCGATTCTCAAGCATAAGCTTCCACATAAAAAATCATAACTTTCACAGAACAGCTCGATCATCTATTTCAGGGGTTCGTAACCTTTTTTGTAGTACCCCACCCCTTTTCATTTCAAAACATAGATACAAAAAATGCTATTGAAAGATAAAAAATACCCGAATTTTTTTAATGGGTCTTCCTGCACCTCCTGAAACTTTGGGCAACCCAGGTTGAGAGCCCCTGATCTAATTTTAAGACATAACTTTTTTCACATGTTATAAAAACAAAAATCACAGCATCTATTTGAATACAAAGATACTTTTAATGAAAACCATTAAAGATATTTTTTGAATGTTAAAAACTTAAAAGTTTTATGAATCGAGTTATATCGATAAATAAACTATACATTTGTTCAAACAAAATATACGGCAGTTATTGGACTTTTACGTTTTTCTAATTATAATCTTAATTAAAAATGCATACATCTTTATAAAAAAATACAATAAATGTAGCAAAAGTGGGTTGATACGCGCAATAACTAATATTGTAGAAGAAAACCTGACCTTGCTTTCATACTGTACACCCTTTGGTCTCACTCAAGTCTCTCAGTTACTACTCACATGGTCACTGCTCACTGAGTCACTGCTCACTGAGTCACTGCTCACTCGGTCATTGCTCACACGGTCACTGCTCACTGAGTCACTGCTCACTGTGTCACTTCTCACTCTTTGCTTTCATACTGTACAAACTATCGCCTGCCTCTATCACATCTCACTCAGTCAATGCTCACTCAGTCACTGCTCACTCAATTACTGCTCACTCTTTGCTAAACAATAATACAAGTCTGACAACTAATTGTCTTTATTTGCACACATCCGTTAAAGACTCTTGAGAGAGTTTCTTTTGTTACAATAACTGCTTGTTCTCATTTTCACGTCCTTCCACGGCTCTACCACAGACCTGACTCTTCTATACGACATCTCTTACTTCAACTTTCAATAAAGTACACAACAAAATTCCTTCTCAACCAAACAACACCAAACACAAGAAGCGACCATGACCTTGGTGGAATACGCCAACCACCCCGCCCGCATCTATAAACCTTAGTGCTGTGGCAACACCTGGCTTGTGCAAGCAGGGACCACTGCGCTGATGTCCTGGTCAAAACTAGTGACCTATCTCCATCGGGCGCTAATAAAGGTTCCTGGTCACTACCCAAAGAGTAGCTCCTACGGTAACCCAAAAGGCAGAGCGTTCGCATTGTTTGATCAATTGATTCACTTACCGCCGAATTCCCCCCAAAAAATTTCCACATTATCTAATATCAACAAACAGTTCAGATAAAAGAGGCTTCAATGAGAGATGGAAATGTGTAACGAAACCAAAATGAGGTGAGAATTGTGTTAAAATAATTGATGAAACATTCAGTCTTTCTCACATTTTTAAATTAGTAATAAATGCAGTAGTTTGATATACGCTTTCTTACTTATACAAGATGTGAAACTTTCCCTATAAATATTATATGCTTTCTAATATTAAAAAAAATATTCTATTATAAAATTGTATTTTGTAATAAATACATTTTTACTGGGTGAATTTCAAATTGTTGCATTCCTACTGGTTACATTCGAACTGTGTACATTCCTACAAGAGCGCCCATCCCCACCTGAGTGGCGGAGGCAAACCCAGGTAAGCCTTGGACTTTGTAAAGTTTGTACCGTGGCCGGCGTTGTCGAGCCAGTCATCTTATTGCTTCTTTAATTAGGTAGTTCCGGTAATACACAAATTGACATTTACAAAATTGCTAGAACATTGTTGACTATTCAATACTAATACTGATTACAAACTATTTAAGATTTTACAACAAATTAAATTACCAAATCATAAGTAATAATAATCAAAAAATAATTTAAATCATGGGATTATGTAACAAAATAATGTAATCAAGTCTGTAATTGTTATTTTGCTTTCAAATCTTAAAATTCGTTGGCATATATAGATCGAATGTGTGTGGGGAAAAAAAGGGGGGAGGCTGTCGGCGAAATTACTTGTCTTCCCATATTAGAAGGCTGGATTTCAATACAAATATGTATAAATATATATATATATTCTTTATAACCACCGCTTATTCCTTAAAAAAAATTAATAAGAAAATATTTAGTATTGGTATTGTTTTTTACCAAAATAACGTTCTGATCCATAAAAATTGAAATTGCATGAAGGGGGATTTAATCTCCCCTCCCCAACCTCACTCAGTTTGGAACGAACAGCTTCCTTTCTCTCTTGTGTAGACGCCCACGCTTTCCTACTTGGTACATTCCTACTAAATGCATACCAAATGCGAATACTTTTATGTCCCATTGCCTTAGGGCACCTTTCCTCAAACCATTGTTTGAATAATGCAATTTTCATTCGTCACAACTAAGGGCATCAATACCGAATGGTTACCTAATTTTTTGCTCGCCACATATGACGTGTTTAGTGAAGCACCAACCATATACAAATAAGTGAAGCACGCGAAATGGCAACCATCCATTAAAACGCATCACCACAATTGCTGTCATTGTCTCCGCAGCGCTTCACCAAAACGGTGCAAACCCAAATTGTTGTCGATCACCTTGTTGGAGTCGTTGACAAAGTTGTCCATTTCAAAATGATCTTTTTCTGAAATGAAAGCAAAGTCAAGCAACAAATGCATGGAATTTAAACTGAATGAGAATGTATTCTAAAACAGAAACATATAAATGGTCCTACAAGGAAGTTGTTAAAGAGAAGCAGACCCGGTGCTGTAAAATCCGCACTGCAAACAAGCTCTTTACCCACAGAAATAAATAGGAATAATCCATAATTATACAAGTTAACATAATGAAGTTTTACTATCAGCTGCACACTAAATATAACTTTGAGATAATTTGATACATTTCAATGTGTTGTAACCCGGCGTCTTGAAATCGTGATAAAAATGATATAATAAAAACTACCTTCATCTAACAAAGGAATGTCTGTCTCATCGTGATTTTCTATGTCTCTGGCACGACTCCAGCCACACATCTTGCTTAGAATCCAACTTCTAACAATTGTGCTTTTCCACAAGTAGAAAGCGAGTAAAAGTATTAGAGCTAAAACTACTACTGTACCAACGATTGCCCATATCGTGTAATTGTCTGCTGCTGGGAAAAATATAAAAAATAACATTAAACACATTAACATATTGAATGTTAACGAAAATTAATTAGAATCATTATATTTCAAAAAATGCGTTAAACATTATGAAAGAAAAAAATAAAAGGATGGTTTTCTAATGGAGATTCGATTTGACCTGCTTCGGCTGATTCCACATCATCCTTTGATAAAAGACGAAATGGCTCAGCCCATGGATGCGTTGTGTTCACATAGTGTCTATAATAACTTAATAATGATTACATTGATGTTTTGGGACATATACTTTCTTTGATATACTGTGTCTTCATCTCGTTTAGAGTTGTACGTGCATTGATATACTCAATATTGTGATTGTACAAAAATCGAAGCTGAAATCTTTAAATAAAGCGAACGGTTCATATTATTATAAGTCTAGAGAGAAATGTCCAATTTCTGACAGAAAACATAAAGAAAAAAAATACTTAAAATTCATTTTTTACATTAAACATCATTTCTACAATTTTGTTCATATGTCTGGTAGCTTAAGTCTAAGAAAAAAATACCATAGAGTTAAAAAAAAAGAAATAAAGATATTGGGAGGTAAAGTGTTAATTCGACTTCGAATTGATCAAGTGAATCTATTGAATCCCAATGAACAGCTTGTTGTGTGTTGTGTAGAAATCAAACTGTCGATAAAGTGTTGAACTACAAAAATGCTCCTGTCCACGAAAAGGTAAAATAAGATAAGCTAAAAAAAAGTGAATGTGTTTTGGGATTATAAATAAAAAAATTACCTGGCCCACATGTTGGTCCTTCATACCCTGACCTACATCCAAAATGACAACTTCCTGTGACATGATGACACACCGTAGGGTCCAGCCCGTCTTTGAGCTGACAGCCCTGGCTGCAGTTGGACAGACATTTGACACCATACGTTGTGGCTGGGCATTCTGGGAGAAGACATAGTGTCTTAGCCTGATACACTGATATATTGTGATAAAAACTATTTGATGAAATATTACACAATTTGTAGTGTTACGTGCCGTTATGGTTTTGAAGATTTAATTTGATTTCAGATTTGGCTCGTAGAATAAACAATACGTAACATAGGACTGAGAGAAACATTTGGTAAAGATAACTATACCAAAGCTAGTTGTACAAACACTATTCAATTTAATTATAATAGCAAAATTGTTATACAAATTCAAATTGAATATAGAAATAATAAACTATATCAAACTACAAAACAGCACACAAAAAAAATAATCTTCAGAAATACAAATATAATTTTTTAGACACAGATCTCGTGAAGCAAAAATATCTCACACGCCCTTTCTCTGTCTCGCTCTTTCCATGCTAAGAACTCAAATGGTCTATATACATTTAAGGTTTCATACAGAAAATTCTATTAAAGAATTCTGTAATTGGCTTGAAATAATGGCATTCTTTAGATGAAAAATAATGCATTCGAACGCATAAAACCTTTTCCCAACCAAGGGAGGAGCGGACAAGAAAAGAGTGCCACAGCTCGTTTACTCGTTGACGTCATTATCAAGCCCTAAACAAGGTGGAGAAAGTGGCCGTGGCTGAAAATAGCTCTTCGCAATAGCCATACTAGGATTTATTATAATAGTGGTATTTAAATATTTTTCGTCCCTTGGATGATGTGATGCTTGGAAGATTTAGTAATCTAAGTATGCGTTACTTATCGAAAAGAATCGCAACATTATTTGACTTAACATGATCTGACAATGTCTATCATACCAACAATCGTTTTAACAAACGGATATTTCCGGAATCAATAAAAAAAAAAAGATCAATCAAAATGACCAACTTTCAGAACATGTTTCGCCTTGGTATCCCTTTTGACAACCACCCAGGCAGTTGCCATGAGCTGGATCACATGACTTATTACCATCACAGGTTGCACTGCACGGGTTGTTGCAGTTGTACCCGTGCCAACCGGGAGGACAGCCTGTAAAAGCAAAAGAGCATAAGTATTACATCGCCACTACTTCCAATCAAACCATCCTTAAAAATAAAACAAGCAAATACATAAGACATATACAATCCAAGTCTCACCTTCATCACACTGGTCACCTCTCTTCCCTAGTGGACAGCTAACACAGGAGCCGTTCTCATGATGGCAGAGCTGATTCAAACAAAGATTGCTGCAGCTGTGATTGCAGTCTTCACCGTACCTCCCAGACTCACAGACTGCACATTGGAAAAGTTGAAAGTGATGACATGATCATTAATGGAAATAGAAAGTTTTCAAAGATGGCATGATAATTAATGGCGCAATCAAAAGAAGAAAAAAACGATTATTGTTGCTTACATAATTGTTGTCAATGAAAATTAAAAGCTTATGTGGTACATCAATTTTTTCACGAATAAGTTGAAAAAAGATATTATCCCATATTTAGTTTAATGCGCATGGGTTGAAGTCTTAAGTTCCATGCTCTTACCAACATCTTATTCTACCTTCGTGTTATTTATGTGTTAGCCTCATACAGCTTAATACAGCTTTGTTTTCTTCTTGTAATGTAAAGCGTATTGTTAGGGTTAGTTTGGTCTTGTGTTAGCCTCATTCATTACTACAGCTTTGTTTACTTGTTATAATATCAAGAGTATTATTAGGGTTAGTTTGGTCTTGTGTTAGCCTCATTCATTACTACAGCTTTGTTTACTTGTTATAATATCAAGAGTATTATTAGGGTTTGTTTGGTCTTGTGTTAGCCTCATTCATTACTACAGCTTTGTTTACTTGTTATAATATCAAGAGTATTATTAGGGTTTGTTTGGTCTTGTGTTAGCCTCATTCATTACTACAGCTTTGTTTACTTGTTATAATATCAAGAGTATTATTAGGGTTTGTTTGGTCTTGTGTTAGCCTCATGCTCAAACAGACGGCTATGTTTACTTGTAATGTTAAGAGTATGGTTAAAGTTTATTTTGGGCTTGTATCCAGGATGTCCTAATCCTTCGATTTTGAAAGTATAGCACACACCTATATTTACCTTTGTCACAAACATCACCCGTGTAACCTTCTTGACATTGATGACATTTGCCGGTGACAATGTCACACGACATGTCTTTGCAGTTTGACGGACACACACTGGCACAGTTCGTCCCATAAGTCCCATCTTTACAAGCTGTTGTTGAAGAGAAAGGATTTACACATGACATTTAATCTACGCGCAAATCTGAACATCAACGACCGAGGCCGCTCAAAAAACCTTAGAAATTCAGACTTTGGTGTTTAGCTCTAATTACTAATTGAATTAATGTTACCCTTTGTGCAGCTTGGTTCTTGAAAGCCAGCCTTGCATCCATTGACACATCGACCGTTTGCAGGGTTACATTGATTTCCATTACATCGGTAGTCACACGATTGGAGGCAGTTCATGCCCCACCTACCACTTTCACAGGCTGGAACAGACACAGTGAATAGACGTGCTCATATTAACGTATGCGATTAGTTACATTTTCAAAAGTATTCATGTTCAAAGTATTTAATTTCGATAACATTCAGCACACATGAAATGAAATAAGATATTTATTTGCTTTATTTACAGTCTTAATGGTCATTCTCGTAACACGTGGAGATTTTGTAAAAATATATATATAAAATGAAAAACCTTTTAATATTAAAAAGATTTGCTGTATTAAAAAAGAAAAAGAAATATTGATTAGTTCAATTTCTAGTCAACAGCAAACTGACCTTTTTGACAGCCAACTTGGTGATAGCCTGACGGACACCCCGAAGGACAGGCTCCACTACTGACAAAACATTGTTCACTCTTCACAGCACAGTTGCACTGATTCTCACACTGTGGTCCATAGGAGCCGTGCGGACAGACCGAATCTGTATGTTTTAAAGAATATTATAATTATTTAATAAGAGAGAGGGAGACTGTAATTCGATAAAAGGAAATAAGAGTAACAAAATACCGTAAAACATGCAAAAGGACGCAAGAAATTAGCAAATAGGGTCGACAAGAGGCCTTCTTCCATTAGTAGGCGAGAGAGTTAAAAATGGCTTCTCCCTTAACTTGGATTTCCAGCCAAACAAGCAGATGGTTGACAAGTTCTTCTAACCATACCAACCCGTACCGCTTTATTACATCAGCTACAACCTGTCAATACCGATTAAAACACAACAACACAACTCTAGCTGCCAGAGGCAACGGCGTAGTCAGATTTTACACTAAGTGGAGTGAGCACGTAGCAGAAGAGTAAAAAATCAAACATTATACATTAATTACACTTATATTTATTTTTGATACACTGAAACACTAAAAAAAAAACGCGTAATGTATAAGAATGGTGATATCTACAACATTATTTTATAATTGTATGCTTAGGCCGAAGGTTCGTTAGACCACCCAGTGCTGAAAGTTTATTGGCAAGGCTGTAGAATACAGTACAATGCAACCATGCATACAATAAATTGAAAGCAATTCATTGAAGAATGTTTAAACATAGATATACTTATTTTATTGTCATTTCCTATACTAATTCTATTTATTGTAATCGTCTTAAAATAAAACGATAATCTCCTGGACAATGTCAGTCCGAAAGACGATAACATTAATGTGGCCTTGGTCTCCGAGTCTGAGTCACAATAACATCACTGCGGCCTTAATCTCTGCCAATGATTCTAATGTATTTCGTGATCAGCCTCGCCAAAATGTTAAGGAACTAACCACCAGCTAAATTTAGAGGCCACATTTAAAACTCCTTAAATATAGCTGACGAGCTGTTTATAAGTCTGTCTGACGACACTGTGTAGCCTCTAAAAACATTAACTTCTTGTATTACATCATCGCCCGCAATTTCTTATGCTTTACACTTCTTGTCATACGGTAACAATTTATGCTTTACTCTTCTTGTCATATGCTAACAATTTATGCTTTACTCTTCTTGTCATATGCTAACAATTTATGCTTTACACTTTTTGTCATAAAGTAACAATTTATGCTTTACACATCTTGTCATATTAGTGTTGATGTAATTAAAAATAACAATAATATTAATAACAATAATAAAAAAAAATCTAAAAAGCAACAAGAATAACATCTGTTAAGAAAAATGTAATGATTTAAATAAAGCAGCCTATGCACACATTTTGAAAATACAAGCCTACCTTCAGATTTTTCCATTTCAAAATGAGTGATGTGTCCAGAAAATACAAGCATACCTTCAGATTTTTCCATTTCAAAAAGAGTGATGTGTCCACAAAATACAAGCCTACCTTCAGATTTTTCCATTTCAAAAAAAGATGATGTGTCCACAAAATACAAGCCTACCTCAAGAACTTTCCATTTCACAAAGAGTGATGTATCCACAAAATACAAGCATATCTTCAGATTTTTCCATTTCACAAAGAGTGTTGTATCCACAAAATACAAGCCTACCTTTAGATTTTTCCATTTCAAAAAGAGTGATATATCCACAAAATACAAGCCTACCTTCAGACATTTCCATTTCACAAAGGGTGATGTATCCACAAAATACAAGCCTACCTTTAAATATTTGCATTTCACAAAACGTTATGTATCCATAAAATACAAGCCTACCCCCATATATTTCCACTTCACAAAGAGTGATGTGTCCGTTACCATCTTTCTGAGCCGATGATATTTTCACCTGGCTGACCACTGACTTGATAGACGAGGAAATCACGTTGTAACTTAGTTGCGGGCTTGGTAGAGTATCAGTGTATTGGAACACTCGTTGGCCGTCTGGGTCAAAGGCCTCAATAGTAAAACCTTTCAGTCGCTCTGTAGTTAAACAATGCAATATTATAGTATAAATTCAATCTAGATTAACGTATCTAATTCATACGTTAATTCATAAAAAGTTTGACAATGTCCATACGTTCCATCTTTTCTTGACCACATTGAAACACTAGCAACTCACCCTGTAACCCGTCTCTGTTATACAGAATGTAGCGATGTAACGATTGCGTGGCTGTGAAATTCAAGCTCCAGCTGGGATTCCGATCGTTATCATCGGTGTGGGTACACGAATGCATGTCGAGGTTACTGTTCCTATTTCCATCAACCGCAAGGTCAGACGCGTAATTCCCTAACATACTTGACTGTGACGTGTTTTGTTTCAGTGCAACGTTGCGGCCTAAGAGAAAGTGAGCTCAGTTATTACTATTGTTTCAGAAAAGCAATGGCACGCCAATGACAGGGGTTTAATGTTAAGGTATATTCTGGTGCATTATCAATTGTTATTTTGTTTATTACATGCAATGGTTAGTATCTTTTAACGCTTGACAGCCGATGTGTCGTAACTAGATAATCTGTTATACAATCAGGTGAAGCATACAATTTTTTTCTTAAAACAGATGTCCAATTTAGAAGCAAAACATATCACTGCATCAGCGATTGGGATTCATTTAATCTTGATTCTGTAAAGAGCATTTTTTTTTTTATCAGAGTCTCAGAATACAGACTTAAGTGATATCAATTTGAGCATCATTGTATTTGTAGCGGTGAAGGCTTGGATTAAGAACTCAAAGTCATGAAACAATTAAAAGGGACAGCTGGAGTTCTGAAAATTGCTCCGAAAAGCTCCACACCACAGAATAATGCATGCCACAGTTCGTGGGTTAAAAGAAGATACTCCACACTACTGATATAGTCGGCACATAAAGATGATACTCACCACCACTGATATAGACGGCACATAAAGATGATGACGCCAGATTGGCTCCTGATATGTTGACTTGCTTTACAGCCAGATCCACATCACAATAGATGTCCACCGTCTTGCTGTCCACTTGAGCTGTCCTCTGGTTGGTACAGTCCAGCATTGTTTTCCCCGTGCCATCGTTGTTGTTTGTTTCTTTCAGTGTTATTTTGATGTCACCCAATCCTGTCATGAAGTTATTCAAACATTTCTGCCTCCAATATGTTAAATTTTTCGTCATATTCACAGTACCTCTAAAAAGGGTTAAATTTTATGATCATCTAATGTTTTTTTAAAATTATTATCTAGATAAAATAAGGTATCTTATTTATTTTTTTTCATAACATTTAACTTTAATAAATGAAATATTCACTAACAAGGCTTTAGATTTTAAATATGTAAAATAATTTTGTGTTTACTTTCAAGGCATTGAGGCAAAATAAAGCTGGCTATGAGGTTTTTGGATGAATATTCCGAGAGGAGTTTATGATATGTAAAAAAAAAAAGTTAGTAGGCTGCATACTTTTCGCTAAATCACACATATTCTCATCAATGTATTTTATTATATATATGTATAATAAATCTGATAACAAAGTGGGACTTTTAAGTCGGAGACTAACACAAAAGCTCATATAAAAGTTGTAGACTACACTGTGTCTCGCTTACCTTGAATCTCGTCTCCGAACGAAAGTCTTAACCACGTGAAGAAGACTGGATTATCCCACGAGACGTGTAGCCACAGCATGTGTGACCCACACGCGCCATCCTCGAAGGTCGAGTTGTTAGTTGCGGTCGTTGCAGACGACAAATGCCCAGTTTTTAATAGATCAACTGGAAAAAAAAAGTTTTATAAACTATTTCAACTTACTATGTGTCGTACAAATTTCAATGGTAAGGATAATCAGTACGTGTGTTTCAATAGCCGACCCCCCCCCCAAAGTTTCATTGTTTGTTGTATAATTATACTTTTTAAAAGCATCAATTCAAGTTAAACCAAACTCTTGGCAAAGGTTGGGAAAGATGGTGAATGTCGGAAATGAGGGCAACGGTTGTGAAAAGGTGCCAAAGCTTGTGTAAGGTTGCAAAGGTTGTGAAAGATGACAAAGGTTGCGAAAGAGGATAAAGTTTGTAAAAGACGTCATGGTTGTAAAAGATGGCAAAAGGGTGTAAAAGATGGCAAAGGTTTTGAAAGATGACAAATGTTGGGAAAGATGCAAAGGTTGTAAAAGATTGCAAAATTATTGAAAGATGGTGAAGATGACAAAGGTTGTGAAAGATGGCAAAGGTTGGGAAAGACAGCAAAGATTGTAAAAGGTGGCAAAGGTTGTGAAAGACGGCAACGTTTATGAAATATGACAAAAGTTGTGAAAGATGACAAATGTTGTGACAGATGGTGAAGGTTGGGAAAGATTGCAAAGGTTATGAAAGACAGCAAAGATTGTAAAAGGTGGTAAACGTTGTAAAAGATGGTGAAGGTTGTGAATAATGACAAAAGTTGTGAAAGATGACAAAGGTTTGGAAAGATGGCAAAGGTTGGTAAAGATGGTGAAGGTTGGGAAAGATGGAAAACATTGTAAAAGATGACAAAGGTTGTAAAAGATGACAAATGCTGTAAAAGATGACAAAGGTTTGGAAAGATGGCAAATTTTGGGATAGATGGAAAATGTTAGGATAGATGGCAAAATTTGTGAAAGATGACAAAGTTTGTGAAAGATAGTGAAGGTTGTGAAAGATGTTGAAGGTTGTGAAAGATTACAAGATTGGGAAAGGTAGCAAAGGTTGTGAAAGATGGTGAAGGTTGTGAAAGAAGGTGAAGGTAGGAAAAGTTAGCAAAATTTGTAAAAGATGGCAAAGTTTGGGAAAGATGGCAAAGTTCGGGAAAGATGAAAAAGGTTGTAAAAAATGACAAACGCTGTAAAAGATCACAAAGGTTGTGAAAGATGGCAAAAGTTGTGAAAGATGGCAAAGGTTGTAAAACATGATAAATGTTGGAAAAGATGACTAAGGCTGGGAAAAATGGTCAAGGTTGTGAAAGATGACAAAGGTTGTAAAAGTTTACAAAGGATGTAAAGGATGACAAAGGCTATAAAAGAGCACAAAGGTTGTGAAAGATTGCCAATGTTGGGAAAGATGACAAAGGTTGTGAAAGATGGCAAAGTTTGTGAAAGATGGTGAAGGTTGTGTAATAGAGTAAAGGTTGTAAAAGATGGCAAAGTTTTGGGAGAGATGTCAAAGGTTGGGAAAGATGCCACAGTTTGTAAAAGATGACAAATGCTGTAAAAGATGACAAAGGTTGTGAAATATGACAAAGGTTATAAAAGATGACAAGTGTTGGGACATATTGCAAATGTTGGGAAAGATTGCATAGGTTGTGAAAGATGGCAAAAGATTGAAAGAAGGTAAAGGTTTTGAAAGATTGTAAAGGTTGTGAAAGATGGCAAGGGTTGGAAAAGTTTGCAAAGGTTGTAAAAGATGCCAATTGTTGGGAAAGATTAAAAAGTTTGTGAACGATGACAAAGGTTGTGAAAGATTGCAAAGGTTGTAAAAGATGGCAAAGGTTGGGAAAGATGGCAAAGTTACGGAAAAGGGCAAAGGTTTTGAAAGATGTCAAAGGTTGTGTAAGACTGCAAATGTAGGAAAAGATAGCAAACGTGTTAAGCGGAATGTGCATTTGAACGAATGTAAAACATTGGACAGCAGTGGATTTAAAAAAATTTAACAGCTTAATATAAAGCTAGCATACAGTTGAGTTCAAACAGAATTAAATCTTTATAAATTACTGTCCAGGATTCGGAAACATCATTAGTAAAACATACGGAAAACATACTGCACTAAAAATATCAAAATGTGGAAAATTTCACAAATCTATGACTTTCTCACCAAGAGTCGACGGGCGACTTCAGGGTGCACAGCCCGGCTTTTGGTGTTGATCCTTTACATTGTAATGCTGCTAATTTTCTTTTTTATATCCCAACTTTGGAGCCCTTATACATAAAGAGGGCCCACACCAAGGCTCTGTTATCACCATTTCTGTGGGAGTCGGGAAGTTTGAGTTGGGCTTGGGATTGGGGAGTGGGAGTATGGTGTGGGAGTGGGGCGTGGGAGTGAGTTCTGGGAGTGTGGAGTGAGGTCTGGGAGTTGGGAGTGATGTCTGGGAGTGGGCAGAGGGGTGTGGGAGTGAGATGGAAGCTTGGAGTTAGGCGTTGGAGTGGTGTTTGGGAGTGAGGTATGTGTGGGACTGGTTTTTTGGAGTGTGGTGTGGGAGTGGGGTGTGTGAGTGGGGTGTGTGAGTGGTGTTTGGGAGTGGGTTGTAGGAGTTGGGTTTGGGAGTGAGGTGTGGGAATGATGTTTGGGAGTGGGTTGTAGGAGTTGGATTTGGGAGTGCGGTGTGAGAGTGCGGTGTGCGAGTGGTGTTTGGGAGTGCGGTGTGTGAGTGTGGTGTGGGAGTGTGGTGTGGTAGTTGGGTGAGGGAGCTTTGTGTGGGAGTGTAGTGTGGGAGTGGGTTTTCGAAGTTTAGGTGAAGAAAGCTGTGGGAGTGAGGTGTGTGAGTGAGATTTTGGAGTGGGGTTTGAGAGTGGTATGTGGTACAAGAGGTACAGTTGTGTGACAGCATAACTGTTTTAAATATACATTTTTGGTAAACAAATTTGAAAAGAAATGATAATGCAATTTAAGTTACTTTATGTCCTATTTTTTATTTTACAAGTTATAAAAAGAAAGAAATCAATTGTAATGTCAAAATAAAATAAAATATATTCATTGTCTGACACTGACATAAACATTGTAGATAGTTAATTAATAATATATGTCTTTAAAAATAATAAAAGAGCTCCAATATTGGATTTGGAACAACAAAAATTAAAGGAAAGAGAGCTATTCAATATAGACAAAATCACAAATTTATAAAACCCTTAACATAGTGACAGGGTTATCAAGACAGCCTTCGTTTTGTTAATAGTAAGTATCCATCCGTCTATATCTTTGGCATTAAGCAACATTGATCTTATTGCTAGCTTAATAGACAATGGAAAAATTTTTATACTTGGTTAAAAGCTCAGGTAATGTTCAACGACACATTTTTATGCTGAGCAATGTATCTGTGATGACATTAAAGGGAAATAATGGTGGGGGTACAGGTAAATGAATAATATATTTATATATATATATATATTTGCAAAATCCCCTTTCAAAAGCTGTATAGGTTTCCCTAGGGACTTTAGACTCTATTACCGTATTGGCAAGCTGGTCCAAACCACCCCTTCTCACACTTCGGACACGCACCATCTCTACCACATGTATCAGAGGGGTCACAGTGGCATAAGTATTGGCAGTTTGGTCCGAACCATCCTCTCGGGCAGTCAGTTTTTGGGGAGCCATCAGCTATAAACGAGAACATAAATCATGTTTTTTTTTGTGTGTGTTTTTTTTTAAAATCCATAAATCATGTCTTAAAGTCATAACTAAATAAAACCTCTCAGATAACACGATGGACTAACGCATTGTTTGCGTTCTCTCTATTGCTCGACGTATCCACACCACTTCAGTTTAAGTAAGACTTACTTGAGGCCAACGATGGCAGGGCGAAGAGCAACACCAATATGCTGATTCCAGAAAGGCGAGGAGATCTCCCCATGGCAAACATCTTCAAAACTGTCAAACTAAAACAAGGTTCATTAACGTAGAGAGAGAGAGAGAGGGAAGGACACAATCATGTGTTCAATGACTTGATGTTTAATGTTTTGGCATTTAGTCAGAATGATATCCAACTAAAAACACGCGTTTATATTAATGGCCAATAAAAAATAATTATTGCTATGATATTATTGTAAACAGTTCGATAATTGGATAAATATCTTTTTATCAAAATGCTATATGTACAATGTCCATAATTAGCTTTGAGTGGAAGTGAATTTGTTTGAGATTGAATAAACACATTTCAGGGTGACAGTGTTTCTGAACACGCGCAAGCGTTAAAACTTATAATTTAAACTCATTTATTTGGTTAAACTACTGAACACGCGCGTTAAGGCTACTTGAAACACATAGGATAGCCTAAATCCCTAAACTATGTAAAGAATTTTAAAGTGTTTCGACCTATCTAGAAAAGATTTCTTAAAATCACTACTTTACTTTGCAAGCTAATCTGTAGATGATTTACTTATATCTCAGAGTGTACCTGGATCTCCTTTTGTCCTCTTATTAACTGTATGAAGTATAAAATTCGGTACTGTGTTGGTCAAAAATTCTTGAAATTTGGAAACTGTGGGTGACAAAAAAGAGATCCAATACATACTAGTAAAAAGAAATATATAAATATGTATACTATGCCGTTACAATCGAATTCGAGGCGCTTTAGATGTCGTTTTACTATAATAAATATTTACGAAACCTTTTAACAATTTATTAAATTATGGGAAACGAATGAATTACTTCTGGTTCTGGTAGTGTTCGTTGCTGCATCCATATTCTGGCATCTGTGCAACGGTTGGGGTAATGATGTTGCTAGTCTAACACTGTAACACAGTAACAGCTCCTAGCTGATGCCAGGGCAGCCTTGAAGCTATTTAATGTATATGACGTGTCTCTAAAAATAGCAACCGATTTTTCCGGTGCTATTTGTTCTAAATGACGCACGTCGTTTCTTTTATCCACTTTTTAACGTAATTTTAGAATCGGAAATTCAAGTTTTTGGCTTAAGCCGGTATCTCACAAACAATTAGTGTTGTAAAGTTTATAACTTTTTACGAACAAAAACATGGCCGGGGAGCTCTTCAACACATAAAGATAAGAGCACTGGCTAAAAACACAAAATCTACAATATACACAAAAATTAAATAAGTAAGGACTTGGGAAACTCCATATCGACAAAGAAAGGATAAGGCAATATTTTCAACAAGATACGGTCCCAGGGAAATTCTCAATAAATTATTAAGTCCTTTTCTTAGACATACGCCTATTGACAAAATGTATTTTATTATCTAAAAGTCAAATAAAAATCCTCGAAACTGTGTTAACAAAATTTAAAAAAAACAAAAACAAATCTATTAAACAACATTTAGAGGTTTACTCATTAGCAAAGTTAGTACTAATATAAAGCTTTACATGACAGCCATCTACTACATTCATCTCAATCACAAACATGTTACCTGGTCGTAATTTAGCACGCACAACGAGTGTGCTCCAGGGTTGACACAGAACGTTAAGAGAGGGATCTGAAGACTGACTAGGCTTGACGTACAAAGAAGATCAGAGAATTATTCGGTCTGTTCTATTCTGACCTTGACATTGACGAGCTAGAGTTCACACTGTTGTTAATGTCAATAATAATTATATCATCAAGAAATTCTTCAGTATCTTGGAGTATTTTTTTAAAAACAAGCGATAAAAGAATTAACATTTCACAAACGTCACCTAAATTCGAACAAAATTCTAAGTAAATTCATGTCTCAAATAAAAGTATTCGTTTTAAAAATTAAATCATTTATTTCCCTTCCTTAAAACAGCGGTAAACGAAAAAACGAAACACAAAACAAGTCATAATTCATTTTTATGACAAACCTGCAAACTATGATATTCATAAAAACCTATCTCATTAATCACAGCTATTTGAAATCACGGCCAAAGCTCAAGTCACAACAATAGCTTCAAGTTAACTTTCCCCAAAAGCAGTGTGATGTGTTTATCACATGGAGTATTGATCAACAATGACATCATGGCTAACGGGAAGATTAATCATCATTCGTGGAAAACTTGTTTCAGTTTCAACGCATCCACTGGATCGATGCCAACTGGATTCTGCTCTGCGTGTAGCTACGACGTGCCTGTGACCCGGCTATGTCCTGTGTGCAGCTACTACGTACGTGTGGTTTATGCGTTTGCCTTAGAGGCCACTTCAGTTCTACTAAAAATACTACAAAAGATATATTACTAATGACTACATTGGAATTATCACCATTTATCTAAAACAACTGCTAAGTTTTTTTGACGTAGTTGTGTATTTTCTTCCATCAATTAAATTAACTACAACAATTCATGAAAGTACTGTCAATTTTCAAACATCAAACAAATTTAGTAAAACAATTCATGAAGGTACTGTTGATTTTTGGACATCAAACAAATTTACTACAACAATTCATGAAATTAATTTCAATTTTCGGACATCAGACAAATTTACTACAACAATTCATGAAAGTTCTGTCCATTTTCGGACATTAAACAAATTTACTACAACAATTCATGAAAGTACTGTCAATTTTCGGACATCAAACAAATTTACTACAACAATTCATTAAAGTACTATCAATTTTCGGACATCAAACAAATTTACTACAACAATTCATGAAAGTACTGTCAATTTTCGGACATCAAAATCAACTTAAAGAAAAGCATAGTATCTTCGACTATCTATTGTAAGACAACAGAGAGCAACAGTTTCCTGCTGTGCCCATCGTCCCATCTCCAGTCATGTAAAAACTCGATCATCTTCTCCCAATGGCTTAGACTAAGGATACTCTTCAGAAATGATGAGTCTCTTATGGAGAGACTGGCGGAAATGTTGAATGTTTTCAACTGAGATTATAGTTTGAGGCTATTTTTTGAAGCAGCTGTCACTCGAATCAAAGGTTTGACTAGACATGATTCGTTTAAGAGAAGTCTTTCTGAAAGTAGTGATAGGTATGTATCCATTTTAGCACACAAAGATATGGCTGGTTATCGATTTCTTAAAACCCTGTTCATCCTTAGGGCAGACCCTGATTCAGAAAAAAAAGAAAAATAAAACACATAATCTTTTAGCTTTCCGAAGGGACAAGTCTCAGGGCCGGCGCTAGGAGGGTGCGGGCCTTGGCAAAATTGAAATTTTCGGGGCCGATGACGTTATTAATTCCGCCGGATATGTTGAGTGGCTTAGGAACTGTTAGCAGGCTTAGGTATATTATAAAATACTACGGCAACTCGTGGGGCCCCGCAAACGCGGGCCTTGGTCGGTCGCCCACTTCGCTATCCCCCAAGTGCCGGCCCTGGACAAGAGCTATTAGAGACATGCTTGTTAGCATCCACTTCTGTACCGTGAAAGCACAAAAAGGCACCAATAGTCGTAACCGTAGCCGCTGTGACACATATTCACATGAGATCGAAGTTGATATATTGTTTCCCTCTGAAAATATTCAAAATTAAAGATCATTTTACTTGACCAAGTGGCAACGTGATTTACACCATTATGTGTAAAATGTATGGAGAATCACACGTAGTGGATCATTGGAGACCGTTATAGACAACATCTGTGCAGCGTCAATGAACAAGCCCTGTATCCCCTTTTTAAAAAAAACAATTCAATAGTGCTAATCGTAAAGGAATATGGGACAATGCAGCTATTGGTATATTTTATGCGAGTAAAACACCTTATAGAATTATATGGAAAACACATTTAAACAAATATTTGGTCCGTTGATTCGATACGGTATTAGTCACATTCAGAACTCTACATAGCTTCAATGTTTTTTTTTTAATATTTGCTTTTTAAATTGTTCTTCCACACACTTTCTTTCCGTTTTTCTGATCTTTATTTTCGTTAGGGACTTGTGCCCTTTCTTATTCTTTTCTTTGCTTTCCTTTTAGGTATATGTGGGATGTGCACATATTATGTACATTGAATTTATAACTATACGAATATTTTTTGTCGTATTGATGAAGGAATTTCTCGAAACATTTGAATATGAATTTTGTCTTATCATAATTAAAACTTAGCATAATTTGTTTAATTGCATACAATGTTGTGTTTTATTATTCATTTTTACAGGTAAGATAGGCAGAAGGCTTTCTGATAGGTTCTGGAAACATCTTCGAAATATTGAATAAAATAAGCGATCGCCGGTCTCAACGGAGGTGAACACAAGAGCACATCAGATGTATCCATCAGTCCATCATGGCTTTAATTTATGGAACACATACACCAGCGAGAGTTAAGAAAAAAAAAATATCATATTTTATGCACCATATCATTATATTGAATTAATTGAATACTCCCTGATTAGTGATCATTTACTCTGGGAATTTCATTTTGCACGCCTTTTGAACACATTACACAGCCATACATAAATACACATATCATTATCATTGGTGATCCCGAAATTCGAAAATACCGGAATACCGGACCATAACGGATGCTCGGAAAACCGGGATTGAATTTATGAAACCCCGGGATTTTCGATAAACCCGGGATTTCATTTTCAATTTTTAAAAATCGTTTTTCTTAGTTTCCACGTCGTAGTTAAAGCAAGCCATATCAATAATTGATGAGATGTGCAAATCCCTCACACCACGTGTCTCAAGTTCAAAAAGAAGGTGCAGGATTGGTAAGTAAATGTTTTCATATTATTGACAAGTAAGTCATTGGTAGAGTCGAATGAAGATCGAATTTTGACTTCCATTCAGAGTTTGTATGGAAATAATAACACATTGCACTCAAATTACGGGGTCAACTTTTAATAACAAAAATGTTTGATTGCTTGATTTCTTTTAATTATGCCAAAAAACAACACATCTAAAAAATGAGTAAATCCTTACTTTGATAATCAAATACCTTTAAGTGTAAGACAAAAAAAAAATTATGCTACTTCTATTTCGTGATAACACTATTAATAATTTACATTCACCTCATAATTGGTTTTCGAGCTATTTTGTCTCAGGCTGAATGTACCAATTTGTCTGTACAGTACCTCGCTAAATATTAAAACATTTCTTTTAAATTTTGTACGCCAAACTAAATCGATTGAATTAATAATTTTTTATTAATGATTTAGTTTCCCTTCAGGTTGATAAAAAGAAATGGGGGACCCTGAAAATAATAAACCTAAATTTGATAAGCATATGAAATTATCGGAAACAAATAAATCACTTTGACAATATTTCTTGAAAGCTATGGACAATCTCTCAGCTAAATGTTTTAGATGTAACAAGATACTTAATACATTTGGAGGTAAAACTTTAGGCTTTCACTCGCATTTAAAGTTTGCACATTCCAGTGACTACTTGGACGCAATTATAAGGCAAGATTGCGACCAGATGCGACAACATATCGTGGATATTTAAAAGCGTGGTCAGACAGCGGATTCCTCGTTGGAAATATCTACGAACAATGAAATTAAACATCTTGGATCTGAGCATGATGAACTTGAAGACACACTGCCGCTTAAGAGACAATTTGAAATTGAAATACAAAAGAAACTTCAGGCTCCGGATAATACTTCCAGACCAACGGATGGAGACATTGATAAATATAGAAATGGCTTTATTTGAGAATGGCGGTTCAAGTGGAAAATATATAAAAATTGCGTATGATTGTCTAAGGTCTACTCTCCGACCAGTGTGAAGGCAGAGCGAGTCAACACAATATTCGGAGTTATTCAATGTCTGTAACGTGTCTTAATATCCTATCGGCGGAATATATATAACGTCAAAATGCAATTTGCCAAAGACCCGCACCTCCCTAGCGCCGGCCCTGATGAATCCTCACCTCTAATCTCGAATCTCGACTAAAAATTCTCTAAATATAAAAAATATCGAAAATACCGGGATTCCGATATTCGTAAACTTCAATATCGAAAATACCGCTTTTGGCAAAAGGGACCAGTTTTGTGACCCCTAGCCATTACCGAAGAATGAGTACTCTGTTTTTAAAAGTTTACTTTCAGTTTCCCCACTAAGCTCACTCGACAAAGTCTGCATTGATAATACCGAGTTTTTAGCTTTTTGGACACCACAAAAGATAATGTGAGCCTGGTGATGGAGTTAATCTGCAATACGTTGCCCAATTTTGAGGCCGGCTTGGTTCTTCTTGAGTGTACTTGACATTTTCAGCCTCCCGTAGAGGGTGCTGTCTCCATCATTCTCTATGCACAGTTTCATATTCAGGAGGTCAGGAATATCTTAGTTAGCAGCCAGTTACATGTTATTGAAGGCCTTTCTTTACTTAGTCTTGGTACTATGATGACATTTATTTTTGTTTCGGGTTTTAAGTATTTTGATCTTGCTCTATATAATAATAATAATAATAATAAGTGGTCTTATATAGCGCGGTACCCCGGCCTAGGGCTGGGCTCACCGCGCTGTACATATATAGCAAAGAGGCATAATCATAATATTAAAATAAAATACATAAATGAAATAAAAACAACATATAAGCAAAACAACACCATAGGTATATTCATCCACCCACACCAGACATTTTTACAAGGAAACCCATGTACGTTTATCGGTTTATAGGAGGAGAATCAGTCAGAGTAGTATAGTTTAAATAGATGTGTTTTGA